TTGTGTCTATACAACGTTTTTATTGTCACCAAGGTGGTTGCTAGGGATGCTGCTATCGATATTATTTCTGTTATGTTGTGTAACTGTTTAATGGTGTTTACCCCCTTCCCCGTCAATGTATAGTGTAAACGTATTAGTTTAACAAAATCCGCAGGCGAGGGCCCGTCGACCGAAAGTTAGCTTTGGGTTCAGTCTGTGGACGGTTAAGCTAGCCCGGCTACCATCGAGATGTGCTCTGAAGCGAGAAGAGGTGTTTGAATGACGCATGCGACGTAGCGCAAGCTACTTATAGGGGGTGGATTCCCTGACGCTGACGTCAAGATCACCAGCCAATCAGGATTGGCGTAATGAGATTGATGCTTCTGTTTGCTCCGCGATGAGGCGCATCCCATAGTGAGACATCGAACGGAGTGTTATGAATGAGAACCAATAACTTTGGTGATCCTCTAACCTTTTATCAAGCACCAGCAAACCAGGTGTTTGTTATGGCCAATCCATGACAAGCACAGAAGTCCAGTAACAGACCACCACTCCGGTTCAAATCAGGGGGGCCGTTCCTCCCAATCACGCCCCTCCAAGTGTCTCCATCATTGCCCACATGTGCGTTGAAGTCTCCCAGCAAGATTAAAGAGTCCCCTTCAGGAGCCCCATACAGGACTCTTTCCAGGGCCTCCATGAAGGCCGTATACTCCAAACTGCTGTTGGTGCATAAGCACAACAGTCAGTTTACCCCCCCTATAACCCGCAGTCGGGAGGTGACCTTCTCGTCCACTGGGGTAAACTCCAACAACGAAGCACCCAACCGGGGACTTGTGAGTATCCCCACACCCGCCCGGCGCCTCACACCTTGAGCAACTCCGGAGAAGAATAGAGTCCAAGCCCTATCCAGAAGTAAGGTTCCAGAGCCGACAATGTGCGTAGAGGTGAGCCCAACCAGATCCAACTGGTAATGCTCCACCTCCCGCACAAGCTCCGGCTCCTTCCCCCCCAGAGAGGTGACGTTCCACATTCCCAAAGTCAGCTTCTGGTCCGTCGAGACCCTCTGCTTTCACTGCCACACTTCTGGCAGCGCACCCGACCCCATCGCTGTTTCCCATAGGTGGTGGGCCCGCGGGACGGAGAAGCGGAGGTGTTGCCCACGTTGCTTTTTCGGGCTGTGCCCAGCCGGGCTCCGTGGCAAGCCCGGCCAGCAGACGCCCGGCCAGCAGACGCTCGCCGACGCGTCCTCCTTCTGGGCCTGGCTCCAGAAGGGGACCCCGGGCTTCCCCCGGGCCGGGTATCCTCACTTCTTGGTTTTTCTTTCATGAGGTCTTTTGAACCAATCTTAGTCTGGCCCCTTGCCTGAGACCAATTTGCCATGGGAGACCCTACCAGGAACACAAGAGCCGCGTTCACACAGAGTTCTTTGCTGTAATTAGTTCCGGCACTTATGGCGCGTTTCCACTGCAGGCCTCGCTCGGCCTCGCTCGGTTTGGTTAGGCCTTATTAGGCCCGGCTCACTTTAATGCTGCGTTTCCATTACAGTTTAGGAACTGGGGCAGTTACTATAGTAGCGCAGTGTAGGCGGAGCCGTGACGTCATCTTCAATGAGAGCCCCAGAAAAACAACACAGCCGTTAGCTCTTAGCACTCGGAGCTCACAGCTCTTCATATCTGTTCAGAAACTTGACAAAAGTTAAACAAGTACAAACCACAGACTGCCTGTGTCATGGCGAATACAGTCGCTGGTTTATTTATGTCTGTATAGGCCGTTGTTGTGAGTGTGGACGGTCGGAGCATATAACGTTAGCTTAGCCAAGCTACATTTAGAAAACACGCATTTTAAAAGGGTTTTTCGCCTGCCGTCTGTCTGCAGACTTGTCAAAGCATTAATTCATGGTTTTTACTAACCGGTATCAGTATGTTGTTACTTCGGCATCATTTTGAAACGTGTATTACAATTAATTCACGGTCAAATATGTTCATCTTGTTGTAGTTGTAGCCCCCTTGCCAACGATTCTCTCTCTAGTTTAGCATACTCAGCCCGACTCAGCCTGGTTGTTCCTGGCCCTAGAACCACGATTTAGTCGGGCCAGAAAAAAGGTGAAAAAGTAGCCCCGGGCCAAAACTAGGCCAAGTGGAAACGCAACCAAAAACGGGCCCCGCACGGCTCGGCACGCTTAAAGCGAGCTACCCGGTGCAGTGGAAACGCGCCATTAGTGCCGCGGCACTTAATACCCCAGGGCACTAAATACAGATTGCGTTCACACGGGAATAAATTCTCTGAGGGAAGATTACGCAAATGAGCCGCTGACGTCACTTCTTCTTCTTCTTCTTCTTCTTCTTCTTCTTCTTCTTCTTCTTCTTCTTCTTCTTCTTCTTCTTCTTCTTCTTCTTCTTCTTCTTCTTCTTCTTCTTCTTCTTCTTCTTCTTCTTCTTCTTCTTCTTCTTCTTCTTCTTCTTCTTCTTCTTCTTCTTCTTCTTCTTCTTCTTCTTCTTCTTCTTCTTCTTCTTCTTCTGCTTTGGGTTTAATGGCAGGCCGCAAACCACTTCACGGTGTATACTGCCACCCGAAGTCCCAGGCCGAACTGTGGTACTTTTTTCCCCCAGGAAAGTATCTGCTCTCAGCAGGTGCTAAAAATGGGGTGAAAAGTTCCCGGCACTTAGTTATTTTTTTGGTGTGAACGCGACATCAGGGGTACTACTAACGGAACTAAACGCGAAAAGTACGGGTGAAAAGTACTCGGTGTGAACGCGGCTAATGTTCCAGACAACACAGCCCCCAGGTTCATCAGGGCACACAAACCTCTCTACCACGGTAAGGTGCTGGTTCTTCAGAGAGATCCAGAACCAAGATCGAAGCTGTGAAAAGAACTGTTACATTTACTAAATAAGCAAACCCAAAACCCTGTCAAGCAAGGTCAGTTTCATAAGAAAAGACAGAAAACATGAAGCTGACAGTCAGTTTTTGAGCACCATTTAGCTGTTGAGCCGTATAATCTAACACTGTCCAATGTTTTAACCTGTTATGAATGTGTAACTATTCCCACGATTCAGCCCTTATGGTAACTGCATGTTGTAGCAGAGTTGGATGGAGACGGTGGGAACAAGATGTCTGATTTGCTGTTCAGCCCAGGTATGTGTACATTTACCAATGTATCTGTGTGGCGCTAGGGATGGCAATGACTAAAATATCTCAACCCATTCAAATCGATTGTATGTATTGTCATACTGATATTCTGTACAAACTGTGAAGTGCACTGAGACAAATGTAACATTTGTGATATTGGGCTATATAAATAAACATTGATTGATTGATTGATTGATTGATTGACTGATTGCAATTAAGTTGGTATATATATGATGCCCTTATGATGAAACCTAATAACTTTGGTGATCCTCTAACCTTTTATCAAGCACCAGCAATATGGTTCAGATTGCTTTGGCCAACATAAAATAGGCAAAAAGTCCCTTTACTTACTAAAATAGGGCAGTGGTGGGCATCATCTGGTTTATCTCCAAAGGTGTTAACTTCTCTCATTACTATTTGGGTTTACATGTATTAAACATATTTATTTGAACCACCTATTTTTAATGAAATAACAAATATATGGTGTTTACCTGACGTTAAAACATGATCTCGACTCGGACTCATTGACGTTATTGGAACACATTCTTTTAAGTTTATATTGTTTAGTCTGTTTTTAATAGTTTTCACCAAATAATGGGCTTGTTGTGATGTGCTCTGGCTTTAATGAGCACCCTGAGGCCACAACTGAGCTCACACTTCTAATGAATAATGTGTTACCTTGCAAATCTAAACATCAGCTTTGGAAAGTACACCTACTGCAATTGTATATTGTTACAACAGTTTTGTTGGATTAGATACAGGATTTAAAACAGTAAAATTACATTTTGTGTGCAAACTGCCTTATAAATCGAACACTTTGAATTTTGTCATCATAAATATTAGGCCTATAATACAGCATTGCCAATTGTACTGACAATGTTAGCTCTGCTTAAACTTCCCCAGGAAATCTACAGCACAGGCTACAACATTACACTTACCAGACACTTTTGTCCAAAGTGACATTTTTGTGATTAAAACTTTAAGAAATCACATGGGGAAATGATAGGGTAGTACTTGTAAATTAAGATTGAACTAATGATTTATTTTGGCATTGCCAAACTCTAACTCTAGAAGTGCTCTTCTTTTACCATTCATCATAACAACGGTCTAATATACAATAACAAAAACTAAAAGCCTATAATCATTTCCCAGCTAGGTGGAACGTTTGGATATTCATAACCAGAGCTCTAAAGTAACTACGTTGATTTACTCAAGTACTGTGCTTAATTACAATTGGAGGGACGTCCTACTTTACTTTAGTATTTCAATTAGTTGCTACCTACTCCACTTCAATTCAGAGGTAATTCGTGTACTTTTACTCCACTACATTTATTTAATACCTTCAGTTACTTTGCAGATTTGGATTAATGATGTAAAATATAAACAACACTAAATAAGACTTAGTTCAACCTGGAGTAAATTCACAAGCTACCCTGCAGCATACAAAGTAACTACAATTAGCTGCACCTGTACGAGCTTTGATGCATCATTAATCTTAATCAGAACATATGATATCATTCTGAAATGGACCAATCTGCATAATGACTTTTTTACTTTTGGCATATTTTGATGCCAATACTTTTCTTCTTTTACTTGAGTAACATGTTGTTTGCACGACTTTAGTATTCCTAAACTCTGGTACTTTACTTGTAGCCTACTTAAGTAGGCTACAATATCTGAGTAGTATACTTATTCCACCTTACTTCATAACCAATAACAGTTAGCCATATGCAACAAGAAGTTGCCACGCTGGCACTTTACGAGACCGTTTGACTTTTTTTTCTTCCCGTCTACCAACATAGGAAGAGTATTTGTTTAACTGTACTAACAGTGAGTGGGCTTCACCAGACTCAGACCTCAGACCCAGCACTGCTCTTCATGTTCCATGCTGTTCTTTCAGCAGACACTCCCCCATCTTGTGTCACACACACCCTCTGTCTGAAGAGGACAGGAGGACTGCTTTACTGTCACAGGCTGTTCAAACAGGACGACTCCACTGCCAAGGTAAATATTCCCCTCCTTCATTCACTTTCCAGCCGTATTATTTTGTCTCGCTTGTTTTGACAAAGAACGTTAACCAAGTTAGCAACCGTTGCTAATGCTTATCGAGATTAACGTTTACTTTGGTGTTAGCCTCACCTGCTAGCGGTTACCGGTTAGCTCCCCCTGGTTAGCTCCAGCAATGCTAAGGCTGACGCTTTGCTCCATTTAAGTGGGTTAAGAAGTTATTTAGGAAACACCAGTCGTAAATAGCGACCTGACAACTCTCCTTCGAGGACGGGTGACGTTAGGTTAACGCTGGTTTAAGTAAGGTTGCCTTTGAGCAGTTAAGTTAAGTTGTTTGGATAAGTTAGCAGAGGGTTTAAAGACATTGTTTGAATGACATATTCACATATGGAGGCCATGATAAGTTCAAAACACTATGTCAAAGTGTTTCTTTGTGAACTTTTATATGTGGCAGTGTATGATGTTTGAGCATAAGCAGTTACCCCAGCGTTATCACTTTCACTCCAACAGGTACACGTAGCTAAAAGTATTGCAAACAGCAGCCCTTTAAATAAGACTTAAAATGTACAGTTTTGGTTTAAACAGTTTTTGAGATGATGCAACAAGGACAGTTTTTTTTGGAGCTGAATTGTATTTTTCCATCCCCTTTAGAGTTATATCAGTAATGGTAAAGACCACATACTAGAAATGGTATATTATGTAAGAAGGATAGATATACATCACATTATAATGTATCAGCATCGAAAACAACGGCCTCCAAAGTTGTATCAAAATCTCTCTGAGTTTGATCTAAAACTGAACACTGTAACGTTATTGAAAGCAGTATTTCAAGGACTTTATTTTGTGCTGGTCCCGTACTTGCAACATGAATAGAATACAATAATAATAAGTAAGACTAAAATAAATGAAACAACTGTTAAAAACTAGTATAAGAAAGACTTAACAAGATGATAATATAGACCTACAGGTAAAATAATACACTAAACATGATCGAGAACAATATGTACAGATTGCACATGAAAAGGCACTATATTACACACAGTAATAAGAGCTTATTTTACCCTATGTTGAAGTACACTGCATCAGTTCTAACTCCATGTACTAAACACATTGCAAACTGAGTGTATATTGAAGCCCATTACTGTTGCCAACAGGTGGAGAGTTTATAGGAAATCAGAGGAGGATCACAGTAATAGAATATCCTACAATCCCTCATCAACATGGGGGCCATCATCTCACGGTGGAGGGTTTGTTTTCAAATCTTTTACTGATTATGCCTTTCTGCTTCATGTTTCTGTAATACAAATGACATAATTGCACATCAGTTAGCAATATTTTTTCTTGTTAAAGATCCTGTTTAGTTTTAAACTTGTGTTTCATATTTAATAAGCTTTCAGGTTGCAGGCAGATGTAGGATTCTCACAAATACGGTTTCTACTACACCATACCTCAGGCCCACAAAGGGGTTACATGCAGATCTGCATTCATTATAACTATATAGATGTTTAAGCTAACGCTCTTCCAGATACTACCACTTCTTGGTGTATTGGCATGCACAGGCTAACTTCATATTATTGCCAACAAAAAGAAACACATGACACAAAATATGCAGAAATGAAAAGACGAAATAGGAAGTTTCCACATGTTTTGAAGAAGTAGAATGTAAAAAGAACTCTATTATTATGGCAAGTTTCATAATTTCTCTCTGATCTGGATTTCATAATTGTTCTCTTACAGGCTAAACCATCCACTGTGGAGATTTTGGAGGGAATCGAAAAGGTATGCTTGCCAAATAAATACTGCTTTTCTTTATAAAATGTGTGTGTGGATTGGTTAACATGGTATACATTTACCAAAGCACAAAAAAGCCATTCTCTAGCTCAATATGTTGTCACTTTATTGTATCATGAGCTAGGTCACTATATATTGATATAGCCGGTTTGGTGGTAATTCTAACTAGTCTATTTGAAATAACCAAACTAAGACAATCTTAGTTTGCAATAAATACATTGAAAGTACTGAGTGTTTTGAGTAATGAGTATTTTTTAATTAATAAATAAGAAGTTCAGTGTGATATAAGAAATTATTGATGAAAAAAACATTTCCAGCTTTACACTTCATATTTTTTTTGTTATGTATGCTCACACACAGTTTTATCAGATTAAGAGAATAATTTGACTCGACTGTAGTCAAGTGTTGATTAATCTTTTTGAAGTGAGTGGTAGTGTAAAGTGTGATTTCAAAACACCAAGAACATAGCCTGAGGTCGGATGAGTTCCTGCATGCAGAAGGGGCTGTCAGTCAAATTAATATGCATCTAACGTACTTAAAGATAAACTACAGCTCCTAACAACTTCTTCTTTTTTTTTGTTGCAGTTGTGACCATTAGCTTTATTAGGTATGATAACGTTGTGCGCACCAAATGTACAGGGCCACTGTAAGAAAAACAGGTTTTCAAGCCCAGTGCAATACTACGCAATATTTTATATTTAGCCACCCACTTTTTGAACTCTGGACCCTCCCCAGGGGTCATGCCCCCTATTTTGGGAACCACTTGGTCTGTCTGTAAACGGCTGTCAATAAAAATGTGGGTCATATTTTCATTGTTCACTTCAGTTTCCTCTGGCAAATAAATTGGAACACTTTTGGGTTGGTTTACAAGCTGTCAATTGGCCGTTGTTTAGTTACCACTTCAGCCACTTTTTATATGGAAACAATGCTAAGTAAAAACATGTTGTGTAAGCATGCATCTCTTGACCATAAGCAAAAAGACGTGTCAACAAATGCCAGATCAGCTCCTCATTTGCTGACTGACGGGGCTTTAGTGCTCTTCTACAGTTAAGCTAGTGTTAGGATATTTTTAGCAACTGCCCTTGAAGCAAGAGACACTACATATACACTGAAGAGGTCAGGTGGCATTGACGTTGTGGAGAGACAGTTTTTGGTTTGGTTTTGAGTTATGCTCGGGAAACACCCTGTCACCTATTATGAAAGAAAATGTTGCCTTTAATAATTTTTTAATGTGCATGTTAGCACAGCATAAACACAAATGCATGCACGATAGACTGTATAGCTGAACACAAGAGCTGTTTATCCAGTACTGTGAGTGACAGACACACACACATGTTATAGAAGAACCATAGAGACCCATTCTGTCTGCCAGCTTTTTATAGAAGGGCTGAACAGCGCTTTAGCTCAGTGGTGTAACCTTCACATGTTAAACAATTTGTTAAAGCAGTTGAGTACTTGCATAAATATTTGTCTATTCTGCCAGAAGAGAAGTTTGATCATGATTCGACCAAATTCTTTGTTAGGTAGGCTCCTGTTGTCATTTCCAGGTTTATGTTATACTTTACTGATATGTTCCAAGTCCTGCATTGGTGTTCATCGTCTAAAGTTCAACAGCTATTCCTGATAGAAATTGCCTACATTTGCATCTATGTAAAGACATGATGCACATTCTCTATGTTCAAGTGCTGTTAAGGAAGTGGTCTTAAATACTGGATTTGCTCCAAGCTCCAAATATACACTCTCTTTAAATATCTAGGGCCCAGCTTTACTGGAAATGCCTGCAGGGAAAATGAACATTAATGTAATGCTCTTGATCTGAGTGCAGAAGCAGGACATTTTACCAAGAGTCTCTTACTATACGATGCTTTGTCTCATTATGTATTCAGGATATTAAAATAAAGAAAACATTTTTGTTGCCTACCATAACAAGTTGGAACTTTGCTATTAGTTTGCGTAGCGTTGGTTGGCCATTGGACATTCCTTCTTTTTTAGAGTTTCTGCTTTAGTCATGCTTGCCTTTATAGCCATTTGTTCTCAAAAAGGTTGAAATGATGGTTGGGGGATACACTATTAAGAATATTTATATAATTGTATATCACAATATGCAAAACACAAGATAATTGAATTGAAAGCTACAAACTGTTCACTGTTATCTATTACATGATATTGAGCTCTAAATGTGTGTAAAACAATGCGTACTTATATAATGCTCATTTACCTTTCCCCCCACAGAATGTACAGACCCTTGAAGAATACAGTGAGAAGTATCAGAGGCAGCTGAAGATATGGGTCGGACGGCTGATTCTGTACTCGTCTCTCCTCTACCTGATCACATGTGTAGTTGTGTATTTCTGGTACCTGCCCGAACAGATGATGGGACGGCTCATACTGTCTCTTCCCTTCCTACTAGTTCCTTTATTGTAAGTGTGCAACATTGTCAATCTCATCTATACTAAACTGTTACTCCAATATAACCAATCACCATTGCTTTTCTCTCTTTCCTTCAGGGTTTGGTTACTTAGAAAGTTGCTTATAATAATTTTTTCACGAAGAACTGAAAAAAATAGTAAGATCCTTTTTTGCGATTTACACATTTCTGAACACATAAGGGTTATATTTTTTTATGTTGAAACCATAATAACTATAATCCAATACAATTATTTTTTCCCCCGTTTTTACAGATGAGAAGTTAGAAGATCTTAAAACACAAAAAAGGAAAATAGTAAGTGATTTGTTTTTGTATTTTTTACATATTCGTCTAGTTTCACATGGATTGTTTTGATATGTGATTTCCTGTGTTCTTTACTCAAAAGACATGAAGAAGACTTATAAAGTTCTTGCTGCTAACAAACCAAAAGCTTTGTGCACAGGGACAGAGTTGCCCCAAGAAACAAACAACTTATATTTTTCGTTGCCGGTTACATTGTAATCACATTCATGTATTGTGGAGATCAAGCACATACAATTAAAACACTTTGTTAAATATGTAAATACCACATTCATTGATTTTTTGTTGTTGTATTCCCTCATTTACCAGTTTCTCCCATTTTGAGCCTACTGGCATCACACCTGGTCATCTATCTTCCCAAAATCATTGAACTAAAACACATTTTTTAAAACGTAGGTATGAGTTTTAATGAGTGTAGAACCAACAATAGATTGCGGGGTAGTTGATGCTTGACGTCTTTAGAAACCCAAAATATTACTAGAGATAACCAAACGCCAACACACTGAGTGTCAGTTTAAGATAATGGAGGCCTGTCAGTGTTGTTAAGAAACATGTTTTATCCTCTTGTTTTTTTATGCTTTATAGTTTGGACTCAGAATATCACTCGGTGTAGCAGTAGTAGTTATAAGGCCATTATAAAAATTGCACCGCTAGCATTTTGCAGATATTTTCTCCAATGTCCCTGAAATTACCCCTGCGAGCTTGAGAGATCTGCAAAGTGACATTTCAGAAAACAATTGTCATGCATTTGTGGCATCGGATAAGTGCAAGAAACGTATTATAAAGCTCATAATCTCTACAGAACACATTGTAACTTTGATGTGGTCTCCAGTGGAGTGAAGACTTGCACTTCATTGTGTAAGTTACGAAGGAAGCCTTGTAGTATTGCTCTTATTGATCCCCTCAGCATTTTGCAGTAAGATACTTGCTAATCTAGGATCTGCACAGACAGCATCTGATCGGCACAGTGCATTAACCCAGTAAACCACTCTGCTAATGTCACTTTAATTAATAGCATTTAGCGCAGGAAAGAAATAAATCTGAGAAATTGCTTGTCATCCTCTGTCAAGTCTAATAACTTTCAATAATTAGGGCTGATGGATTTTCACACTCTCCATTATCGAAGTAGTGAATGTAATTATTCTTCATATTATATGTAAACATTTAGAAATGTTGGTACTTAAATAAAGATGTACAGTTTAGAGAAGTTCACCGTGCCCTTCTCAGCCATGTTTATTTGTAATGTTATGGTAGGTGATTCTAAGATATTAATGTGTGTTCATTTAACACCTATTAATTACATTAGGGGATCATCAAATAATTACGTGGCAATCGTTATTATAGGAATAATTTCTTTGTGCAATACATTGGGAAAATGATGTTGGCATTAATCCTATAATACCTTTTTTAATGTCTTTTTTTCAGCTTGAAGAAGTTATGGAAACTGAGACATATAAAAATGCTAAAATGATTCTGGAGAGATTTGATCCTGATTCCAAGAGAAAAATTGTAAGTTATTCATTTTACTTACTGTAATTAAAATCGCATTGTCTATTTATTTTCCATATTCAACCATTTGCACTCCCTTGTTTTTTGTGTATAGGAGCTTGAATCCACTCCTGTGGGCCCTCAGATGACTCCGAAACAAGGACAAGGTAGCGATGAGCTTTGAATCCATCACTATTTTCTCCACTTGTCCTTTGGCCTTTCTCACTATTGTTAAGCACAATGTGATCTTATCTGTTTTAGAGCTTCGCCAGCGCAATGTCATGCCAAAGACCCCCTCAGTGATGGTGAATCCTGCAAGCGGTGCTGCTGCGCGCCCTCCTCCTGCCTCTGGGCCCACCTTTCCTGGACGATCTTCCCACTCTGCTCCAGGTGGACCCCCAGAGAGGGGCCTGTCGGCGATAGCTGCTCAGCAGAGCTTGATGAGGAGGCCTGTGACCCCGGGAACACCTGTTCCAGGAGTCGGTGAGTTACCTGCACACAGGGGGACCACACCATAATGTGGTCGATTAAGGTGTGATTTACTCTTCCTTGGCTCTGTGTCCCCAGTTGCTCAAGATTCTGTGGTGTGTGTTGTCAGCAAGAATGGTATACAGTATCTTATACAGTAGTTGGAATATGTAATTACCTTAATGTAGTCTTCAAATATCTAACTAAAACCGTTCTCAGACAAGTGTTACATTTCGAGCTTGTTTCAGAAATATGCCATACCCTCTGATACAGTCAGAATATTTATCTGGAGAGTGTAATGCATGCATATTTGGTTGCTTTTAGAAATGTTGAAAGCTCGCCAGGGAACACTATAAACAACCTTTCAAAGAACAGTTGCTAGACATCTGTGGAGTGCAGAGTTATTGCATATTCTATATAAATTATTTATGGGCTATGAACACTCAATAGAAGATGCAAATAAGTACCGGTAAATGAAATGTGTTCCTAGAGGAAGCTGCATGCTGTAATTGCCATGTGGAATGCTAACTGTGAGGTATGCACGAATCACGATTACATTAACTATGATTAATTAGCCAGACCGGCATTTGTTCTCTGGGCAATGGTGGTGGAATCTCACTAAATGTCTTTTAATGCTTGGTGAAATTGCCTTTGGCATTGGGAACAACCTCGCAAATGGTTTACATGACTTGATGTTATCACCTGCTTCTGCCGAAAATTGAAAGTGAAAAGCAATTTGATACAAAGAGTCACCACAGAGTTTCCATATGTTGGTAAATTAATAACCAGCAGGATATTGAGACTCTGCCAAGTCTCACAGAAATGACCAGTCATCTTCCTATGATTGCTCTTGATGTTAGATTATATTAATTACTACTCACCAACACAACAGGGATTCTGGACGTGCTTTGCAAGTGAGATCCGCTGCTAATTCATTAAGAAAAGCTGGCAGGTTTTTTTTGTAATATCCATCATGGTTTGTGCAGTAAACTGTCAATCTCAGCCTCACTCTTTCACTTAGTTTTTACTGTGAGCAGAACCTGTTTAATGCAGTTTGTATTCAAGACTACGGACTGTGTCTAACAGGCATTGCGCTTTAACAGGGATGCACCCCCCAGGCCCGCCCCTGGCCAGACCCGTGGTCCCGAGGGACAGAGGCGCCATGGACAGAGTCATTGAGTATCTTGTTGGAGATGGCCCTCAGAACAGGTACACAATCTTCTCCAAGCAATACAAATATATACAGTTTAGGGCAAGTATAGTAAATGTATTAAGCTGTTTGTTTTCCAACTTATAAAATCGCAGTACTGAATTATCTTTCCATGTTATTATGATGCCAGTCTCTACGTCCTACTTAATTCTGTCTTAACTGGATTGTGTTTCCTTCCTCATAGATACGCTCTCATCTGTCAGCAGTGTCTGTCCCATAACGGCATGGCATTAAAAGAGGAATTTGAATACGTTGGTAAGACTTACAGAAACACAACGCTCTTTGTCAGTCTCCATCAAACACCGTGCCTTCATTTGCCCTCTAGCATTTGGCAGCGTAGTATATCATATAGCTCTTAAATGCCTCTGCCACTACCGACCCCTGTAAGCAGAAATGCAACAAGATTGAATATGCAAACCAGTGCTACACATCAATCTGAAGTGTTTATGCATCTCAGGCATTTTCTGTCACTGCTTCACATTCATGTATATTAATCTATGTCTGTTTTGAGAATGCATTGGGCCATTGACATAAACTATATGAACAGTGTTTTTATTTGTGTTTCAGCCTTCCGATGTGCGTATTGTTATTTCTTGAACCCTGCGAGGAAGACCAGACCTCAGGCCCCCAGACTCCCCGAGGTCACCGGCGACCTGAAGATGTCCTCCGAGGCCCCCGTACCTCCGGCTGCTGTTGTCATGGATGGAGATCAATCTGTTTCAGGTGATAATGACACACAAGGCATATACCTCTTACGTGTAATGGTCATGCATGCAATTGAATGTTACTTTTTGAGTACATTATGTTGTACAGCACTGTCCACTTTCTTCTATTTGTTTAAAAGATGTGCAAATCTTAACAACATTTTTATTTCTATTAGGTGAATCAAAGCTTGAGGATGTCTCTGCTGAAACAGACCCCCAGGGGCCAGACACTACAACAAGAACGGAGCCTGGCTCTGCGTCAGACGGCCAAAGCACCGAAAGCACCACAGACTCACAAGATGTGTCCCGTGAAAAATCTGACGCAGAGCAAGATGTGTCCTGTAAGAAATCTGACGCAGAGCAAGATGTGTCCTGTAAGAAATCTGACGCAGAGCAAGATGTGTCCTGTAAGAAATCTGACGCAGAGCAAGATGCGTCCGCCATGGAAGTGGAATAAAACAGTGGCGCAGTGATTTCAAGTCAGGCTGGAACTTTATTTGTTCTTTGAAGGGCTGAGATAACCGATAATTTATAAGTAAATTCCGTGAGTTGAAATAACAGTGATTTTCAACTTACAGTACAGAATGTCCTTTCTTTTCAGAATTGCTTTTATATTTCTAGAAATAGAAAGTATTAAATATGAATTTAATATTTTGTAGCAACATCAAACATACCTCCAGTATGATTACACGTCCATCACATTATAACCTATTTTTGCTACATATATCTATTTTTTCCATGTTTTTTCCCCCAATTTTTTTGACTTAATTTCTTACAGCAGTCGATCGCATTTAATTGGCAACAAAACAAATATTTTGTGGGGCAAACTTGAATACAAGGGATATTATTTATAAATATTTTTCTATAATGCTGTGCCTTCCATGACACTGTAGGTTGGGGAACTCTGCAGCCCCGAAAGTGCTAACCACATGTTTACATAACCATGCTACCATAATAGGAATGCACACATACAGTATCTATTTATTGCTCAAATGGAGAAAAAGGGCATTTATCTCGGTACTGTGCACCTGCCCTAAGTGCCTTTTTTATATTTGAAGTCTCTGCTTCAGAGTGGTGTCGATGAAACCTATTTACATATAGACAATAGACACATTCAACTGTTTACAGACTGTATCTCTTTGCTGTGTGTCTGAATTCTTGTCCTGTATAAATAATAATGATAAATAAACTTTTGAGAACATCTGTGTATGTATGCTTTGTATTACTATACATCCATCCACATCCATCCACATAGATGCATTGTTTTTATAAAAGTACATGCCTACTGACATGACATTTTCTTTAAATAATTTATGCATTTAAAAGTGATTATTCACTAACATCAAAATATAAAAAGGAGAGGTCAAACTAATGCAATGGCTCCAATGTATTCCTGCTACCTTCAGGGTGTCATGTTTTTTATAACGCCACCCTATTTCTTTTGCCAGCTTCTCATCGAGGAGCATGTTTAAACAGTCCGTTTTCATTAGCAGGCCAATTTTAGCTTGTGATCATTTTATTTTAGCTCATTGATCATTTCAGACAGCGCAAGATAATGGCGCTGACACGGAGGCCGACCAGTCTTGATTGCTTGACCCTCTTCATTTGCAACAAGAAAGTCATTGCAACTACAAAGTTGCTCACCGACGTCACATGACCCTTTTCCCCTGAAGATAGACCGTAAACTCTGGGTGAGGTCAACAGCCCACGTCTTCTATGGCTTCTGATAATGTATGTTTACAGAGATGTGACCTCCTGGGCCTTGTAATGCATCACTGTGACATGACAGTAACGCCTGATTCCACCGCATGCTGTTTGAGGTTGACCTCTGACAAGAGCCAAACGGGGAAAAAATGGGACATCAATAGGACAATGTTTGGATTTTTTCACACCATTGGGAGGTTGCCCAATACATAGCCTGCACATATGTGCATGATCATAAGTAATATATCACAAAAGATATCTGCGCTGTGTGGTTTGAAAATGTATGTTTGAGTCATATTGTTGATTCCACAGCACTGAATCATTTCTTGACAGATTGTACCTTCACAGTCAGTACAATTATTATTTGTCTGCAGTTTTCAACTAAGTGTGACAACATTCAGTTTTTAATTTGCCTTTTTTAAATCTATTAAATGCGTGAATAATTTCAAAGAGAGATAGGAGATCATCTGGCTGCTTTAAAGAAACAAACATATGTTCTCGGCTGTAGTTCAATTTATCTGCCTTTTTAAGTACTATCATTTTTATTGGCAAACAGAAGGCCTATTTAGACAATCAATATTTGGAATGACCTTCCAACTCTCCGGTCAGGTTGTTTATTCTGTAGTCATTTTCTGCACCTAATTGTCATCTCAACCTACAATTCAGAGGAATACTGTTTACATAATGTGAAAACAAAAGATACACCCAGGGGTTTGTGTCCAAACACTCACAGGATTACATCTGGATTGCTATCATGGAGACACTAATTGATTTTCAAGGATGACAAATGACATACAAAGCCCCAGTGCCAGGGTAATTTTGAGCAAGCGATGAAAATGTACAGTCGGGCTGTCCCAAGGTTCATAGTTCTTTTCATACTCATCTCTCACATGTGCATTCGAGGCCACTTGACTCAAATTTATACTGATCTTTTATTTATACCCAGAAAAAATAGCAGATAAGAAACATAAGTGTTCTTGATATTGTGTTTTGTCATATCTAGCAGCCAAAGATTGAAATCCTGCGAAACAATTTTCTGTAGAAATGAAAGAGCGTGCCCTTCTGAACCCTGGAGGAAAATAACCCCACGGTGCGAAGCAGAATATGAAACAGAGGCACAGAATAAGTAAAATAGACAAGTGCACCAGGCTTGTCACTTTTCCATTTGCTGCCCCCGAGTGTGAGCACTTCAGAAATCTCCTCATCTCGGCGAAGACCTTCATCGTTATGCTCTATCTACTGTAGCTTACTGAATGAGAAAAAAGTGAGACAAAAGCAATAAAGAAGGGACTTTTAAACATTTACCATGTTTCTGTCCATCAGGAAGTAGAATGCAACAGGAAGAACAACAAAGTCATAAATATACAGCGAAAGCCATTGTGCATTGGAGGCGAAGCGGAAAATGCTGAGATGAGTGTCATAGAAGCAGTTTAACACGGTTGTGATATCAGACATCACGGTTGGCTCTTGACAACAGCATCATTACACAGTAATAAGAGCACAATCTCCTTCAGAGAAGCATTAAAATCAAATTAGATTATACAAGAGCTTGGCTTGATGAGCTGCGAGGGGAGGATCTCTGGTTATTACTGTAGCTCTTTAGCTGCTCGGGCTTGAATTGCCACTTGACAAAGTTGAGCCGCTTTTCACAAAAGGTCATCAGCTTCCAAGAAATTAGTTTTTGAAATTCAAGTCATTTGAAACCTACACACACCCAGATGGATGGCTTTCCATTGTTCTACCCCCCCCCCCCCCCCCCCCCCCCCACATTCAATCTGTCAAATCACGAATGCATGCTGCTGAATACATGATGCCGGCAATAAACCACAGTGCTGTAGTTTAAACTGGAGTGACATTCAGGGATCAGGGAGCATTGTCATTCTCCGTCCTATCTTGAACTCATTACAGCACTGAGCGATGACATCTGTTTGAGCACTCATACGGTCTGACAATTATTACTGCAAACAATCCACTGTTGTAATTTAATAATATAATAAACCAGAGGACAACACACTTTGGAAAGACAGGCTATTCATGAACATGTTTCAATCATAGTATTAAAAACCTGCATAACTTAAAATTAGGGTCAGCTCCTCACACAGAAATATAATTCATTTAGGCTGCTTCTACTTTTAATGTTGCTGTACAAACATAATTTGTATGGTTGGAAATTGATGTATTGATTAGTTTTATATAGTGTCAGCAAAGAACATGCCCTTGGAATCAATAGCATAAAAACAAGGTTGACCTAAATTTACAAGTCCTGTCACACGCAGGATAATAATTCAATTATAGCGCAGAGTCAAAGCGTGAAAAATATTCGTTGTTTTTGTTTTTCTTGCTATTTTACTAAAGTATCACGACACAAGTAACCAAGAAAGAAATGGAAGGCCGAGACAACACACCCCTGCTACTACCTCATGTGGAAATCATACAAAGCATCCTGCAGGCAGAAGGTTCATTTTATAGCTTCATCTATTACCACACTGTCATTGTTAATTGTCTTCTTTTTACCTCTGCAGGATTCTCCAAATTGGTCCTATCGAATGTGACAGGAGGAAGAGCATTAAGCATCTGACAAGATGATATCTAAGTTCAATTTCCTACTCCTCACCTGATTTATACCTGCAGCAGATCATTTTCCTTTCTGTCATAAAGACCTCTATAAATCAGTGGTGCTTATGGAAGCACTACAGAACAGGGTCTCTGGATTTGTATCCCCTGTGTTTGCTATTAAGAAGCCATTACAGCCACATTTTCCTCCTTCAAACAAAAATGATCAAATCTAATACTGGCAAGATTAGAGAGATAAAGAGAAAAAGCGCTGGCAGGGCTGTTCAACACAGTCGCCCTATCTAAACAATACGCTCTAAACTCGATAAAAACAGGGCTTTTTGCTGGTGACACCATTATCCATCTGTTTGGACAAAATTGCTGTATCATGGTATAAATCTGCGATACAAGTGACATATCCTCTAAAATAAAAGGGAACATTAACTGCTCTATCTTCTAGAGGCCATGGGACTAGCTGGCTATAAGCTCAGTCAAGTGTGATGGCAGTTATACTGTGTTTTACTAGACTGCAGACAATTATACTTTGCTCCTCTCCCCTAAGAAGACAAACTGCCATGGCTTCAGCTGAAATGATTTCAAATAGATTTTCCAAAATGTCTGTCGCCAGATTGCTTCCATACATTATTTCACTTAAATGGAGAGAAAAAAAGAGGGAGCAAATCCACAAATCAATCACAACAGCCCACTTTACCAGATGGAAGGACGAGAGCTTAGAGAGAGAGAGAGTGTGTGTGTGTGTGTGTATGTTGAAGACCTGCAGAGAAGGACAGTTATGGGATGTGCACAGTCCTGTCTCTGCTTTTGTGTCTCACTCATCTTGAAGGATGACATAGAGTATCTACGTTCAATGGTGAGCTGGCAGGGCTGTAAAAGTGGAATAATGTGTAATGAACTGACCCGATGACTTCTTGAGAGTTCAACAACTAGTTCATATAACCGATCATGTAATCAATTAAGAGGAAAGGAACATATTATTTCACTCAGGCAACACAGGCAACACACATTGCTCTAAAAAAAACATAGTCTCTGAAAAAAATACTCAATCTGTATCCAAAATCAAATACATATGCATAAAAGCCCCAATAAATAAGAACAATTGTCTAAATATCTTTATTTTGGTCAAAGACTTCTTTTTAAACAAATAATGGTTGGACATAAAAAAAGGCTGATTTGCTTTAAAATATTCTATGAAGTATTAGCATCATAATAGGCTATTTAAAGTGCCAGAAGTAAAAGCAGGGTGCTAATTGTTCAGAATGAATTCAAATTAGGAGTGCAATACTGTGTTAATCACTTTAAGGCTGCAGCTGGTAAAGCTGGGGCTAATCACATTACTGAATATATTGCAAGCGTGTCTGCAAGTTATCTTAATTTATAACAATATAACATTATTTTAATCTTAAAATGAATAATCAAAATTCACAATTTTATTAGGTCAATAAAATGGAAATACAAACATATCAGATTAGGTTGTGCCACAATCGAAGAAAGAATTAGATTACAATGGAAAGAAGCAGCTATGTTTTTATTAATTAGCTCTCATTAAATGTGCATGCTTTTAAAGAAAAGCCCATCCTATGTAGCTATAAATATGCTATGTTTATGGGCGGGGCTTGGGTTACGTTTTGTGTAACTTCAATAGATTTAGAATGTACAATAATAAATATAGCTAACAAATATATTATGCCAATATTAACAGCTACTCCTAATTAGCTACACACTTGTTTTTTTACTTTTTAGACACAAAATAATTGTTTTTGTCACACAATAAAAAAATACACACATTGTATAACAGTATAACTAGATACAACAAATACAAATCATTGGATAACTAGTCGTCAATCACATAGTCATGATAAGTAACATTGTTTTGCTCTCATACAAACCTTTAACCAATGGCTAAACCCCGCCCCTTTACCCGACAT